GGGGGGGGGGGGGGGAGAAGATAAACATACAGGACAGAGATAAATCAGACACCGGAGCGAAGAAAGTTTATGTGAACTGGTTGAATGTCTTAAGTATCCCGCATGTTCACAAACAGTTTGTTCTCTTTCCAGACAAGAGATAAAAATGGAAATTGAAAAGGAGTTCTGGAGGCTGAAGCCAGTTTGCCCACCCTGGTAAAACGGATCATTCCACCCTGCTTTTTCAATTTTCTTTTCAAGCATCTTCCACCAGTAAGAAAGCAGTCGATCCAACTCCCTCATATAAAGCAAAGCAGGCAAAGCCACAGAGTAAAACAAGGGAGCAAGGAATATATTTGTGACACCTTTAGAAATCCAGGACAACAAAACCGTCTAAAGTGAAAATAACACAGACCAGATGTTTCGATCGGTAACCCTCAGGTTTGCAACTGAAGGGGCAGTGTGGAATAGTGGTTCAAGCGTTGGGACTGGCCCCAGGGAGACCCCATGGACCCTCAGCCATGGAAACTCACCTAGTCTTTTCCAGCCGAACCTACCTCATCAGTTTGTTGTAGGGACAACAATGGGACGAGACAGCACTACGTATGTTGTCTATTGTATAACACGAGCAGGGAAATAGACATGACAGGAAGGGAAAGTTCCATGACCAGAGAATAACTGCATTATCCATCGTGTGCATGATCAAAAAGTAATTAAATTTAACGGAATGCAAATGTAAAGGAAATGAAGAAGTGTCTGCTGTTTGTTGGGATGAGTCCCCCAGTACGTCACTCCAGGACGGGGGGCAGAGGTGGCTTAGAAAAACCTGCAGCTTCTTGGTCCAGGGTTTAAAGTTGTTTTAAATTCCCTCACCTCACCTGTCTTCTCAAAGACAAGTCTTTTCCTGAACCCGCTGTTTTCCCAAACCCATTTAGAAACTTTGCCACGTGGGCCTAGTCCACCTTCAGCGATACAGAAATTCAGGAGGTGACTCTGCACCAGTCCGCTCCCTCAGCCCATCTTCTTTCAGAGACTGGTTGTTGCATGGAAAGAATATTAGGGACACCACCTTAAGCCTGTATGAAAGGTGGAATGTAACTCTAATAAAGTCGTACCTTGTGCACCCCAATACTGACTGGGATCATTAGGACACCCAGACAAATCCACCCAAATGGTAACCCAGCCCATTTTATTTATTCAATTTTTTTGCAGGCAAACTGCTTCCTGCCGTAGAACTTGAAGCTATAGATGGAGGAACAGAAGCTGGCCAATTAAAGCAAGACTTTTTTTCCCACCCAATATTGACCCCGCAAGGGTTATGAGGGAGAGGGGCAGCTGGCAACCATACGAGGCAACCAGATGGCTTGTGCCAATATTATGTCCACAGACCGCAGTTGCTGGATTAGACCCACCACATGAAACCATCAAGCAATGGAAATATGCCGTTTTATTAAACTAAAAGACGAGGCACTGAAGACAATCCAGAAGTTAGATAACAGCAACCTCCCGCCAACAGAAACGTGCTGTTGTGAGGACAAACTAAGGAAATAACACAGAAACCACCTGGTCATTCTCCCCTAAGTGAAATCTTGTTCTTAACTTGATTGTTTTTATCCAAAAGCATTGTGTCTCTCTTATACACACACACACACACACACCCAAACAATGTATTCATCAGCTCCTTGAAGGAAACTTGCTGAACTATACTACATTTTGGGGCATTGATGAATGATTATTAATTGACGATGAAGCAGTCCAGAAATATTTCTTCTTATAGTTGAAGAATGAAGGTTATAATAACGAAGCTAGGGGATACAACTGGGCTATCTGCACTGAGATTAGTGGGAGAAGAAGAAAAAAGATGCTTCTCCCTCTAGCTATCTGGCATGGTAGAGAACTTTCCAGGAACAGCACCACAAAGGTAGAAACAGGGGCCTAAGATAAGGGGTGGGTTCCTTTTCAGCAAACTTGTTTAAGAAAAGACTGGACAAACATTTGTTGGAGGTTTTTTTTTTTTTAATTTGGATTTCCATATTGTATGGAAGTCTCTGAAAATGCTTGGAAAGGTGGAAGGAAAGAGAAGAAGAGGATGACCAGCAGCAAGGGGGAAGGCCTCAGTTACAGTGGCGACAGGTGCACCATTGGAAGACCTGAAGGATCAGGTTGGGGATAGAACATCTTGGAGAAAGTCTATCTATGTGGTTGCGAAGAGTTGACACTGACTTGACAGCACAAAATCAGTCAATCAACTGTACAAAGGCTTGAACTCAACAGTCTGAAGAGTTTGCAACTGCGTGAATTTATGAAGTAGCAGCGATCACATGGCTGTGCTTTT